AGTACTTTAAACTGTATAAATTAGTTACCCGGGCAATTGATTTACATCAGCCAATCAGACGAAAGTCCTTCTATGACTTGAGGTCACGTTTTGCGGATTTTACTAGCTAGCAACACGGGTTTCACCCTGTTCTATTATAATTATTGTAATATTAATTTTATAGAATTATACAATATATAATACAAATTTATAAATATCAAATACAACCAATTTGGGTTCATTATGTTGAATATTTTTTTTTTTGAGAATATTTTGAAAAATTAAAATATTCTCAAATAAGAGAACTTTATTGTAAATATAAATGTTTTTAAAAAAAAATTGAATGTTTTTTGAAAACCATGAGAACATCGAATTTAAACACTGCTTATAACTACTTAGCAATTTTGCAACCTTTTGCGATCCTGCAACTTGTATCTTTTTGTGGCAAAATAAGTGTTCGCAAAGGTTGCAACTAATTCTAACGAGATGCAAAATTGCAACCCTGCAGCAGGCAACTCTAAACGTAACACGATCAGAAAAATTCAAAACGAACGTTTATTTTGGCAAAAATCATTTATTTCTCGAAAATATGTATAATAAATCAGCTTTAGTACTCTAACAAAAAGTTTTTCTTGAACGATTTTACTATATAATCATCTAACCTCTAGCCTTATTATAAACGCTAACTCTAACATTAACGAACTTTATAGGTTTTTGCTGCGCCACAAACCTGGCACACATTTCAGACGTGCCGTTCAAAATTTGTCTTTCCGGTTAGGGTTCGTGGTTATAGGTCTTGAAAATCATCCCATACGCTCCCGACATTTTTTGTTAGTGCCAAAATCCTATTTAAACAATAGTTTTTGAATATTTGTTTTTTTCCTTCTTGCAACAATCAAAAATTTACGCATCGATTGGTCATTTCTCATGCGCAATATCACGTTACTGCAAGTAGACTCTCGCCCCCACTACGTAAAGTACCAAGAGCTAATACAAAAAAATAACTAACAAATTTTAAGTACATACATGCTTCGCATTTACAATAAGTAGTCCAGAAATTAAAAAAAAAAAAAAAAAAATCATTTACATTTAATTAATGGAGCACGCCAGGGTCTTTTGCACGGAGTCCGTGTACTATAGTAATAATGACGAATAGCTTATAATTCTGATACTTTATTTTACTTGTGTTTTAAAATTTACATTTTACATTTTTAATTATCAATTTTGTATATACAATCGAAACTGGTCTACCTGTGCAGACTTGTAGTACATCAAATCAATATAGCCGATATATCGTTTACTAATAAAGAAAAAAAAAATTAATATTTATTAAAAAAAATTTACTAAAATGATGGAATAACTTACTCTCCAAAGCCGCCGACAAAATAAATATCAACCACTTCTAACCGATAAAAATTAAATGCATGTCCTCTGCCGGGGACCCTAAAATAATGTGAATTTAGGTTTACCATGTGATAGAAACTAACATTTGATAACATACCAAAAACGCGCTCGCGGATGTTTTTTCAAGAAACATTCCTGTATCGCTGGAATCTAAACTTGTTATTATTCAGTAAAGTTGTTTGTCAAACGGATATTAGTTTTTAAAGGACAATACTAAAACTACCTCGTCTTTTTCAATTTTCACTAATTTGCCAAACAAATTTAATCTTGGTTCAGCCATTGGAAAGTAGGTTTCATTTTTACTGAGCTTTTGAATCTCCAATGATACTTTAAAATCATTTTCGCGCGCATTTTTGATATTAAGCTTGAGAAATAATTCAAAAGTTGTTATAATTTGGAAAATTGTTCAAAATCACATAAGATAATAATAGTACCGAATAATCAGTCAAAAGCATCAAAGGATTACCGGTCGAAGGGCAGTCATCAGAAAAGTAGTCAAATAATCCAAATGGATATCCTTTAACACAGCACAAGTCTCAATATTTTGAGTAAAATTATACTTATTGTGATCACAGTAATTAGATACAACTAATACCTTGCAACTCTTCCTTTGCAAATTTGTTCATTACAGTTACTAAAATTCCGGTTCCAGTCTCTGACACTAAAGATCGCGCGACTATAGCAGCCTCTTGTTCTGTTTGTTTTTCACGAGTATTCCGAAATTTAATGCCGACACTGTACGTAATAAGAGCAAGAAAAAAAATAAGACACTTAATTTGTAAGCAGAACATATCGATATTAGAAGTCTTGAAAAACTAGCCGATGACAAAGCTGATTTTCGAAATCACGTTTTGCCTTTTTTTTTTTTATTATCGTTATTTGTTACCGTTACATTTACATATGATTGGTTGTTTAAGTCAATTTAATTTTACATTATTTATACAGTTTAAAGTACAAAAAATATGAAAAAACGTACATACGAGGTATTATTAACGTTGTAGGACTCCGCTATTGAAAATGATCAAAATCCCTTTTTGTTTTAGAGAAGTTAGCATAGTAACATATCGGCCAATTTTTGGAATTTATAAGTAGTGTATATTTTTTAAAGACTTCAAAGCTAAATAACTTCTGATCTACTGGTTCGTTTTAAATGATTTTACTACCAAAATGTTCGTCTCTTTGAGACGATTCCAACGAGCCCAAAATCATTAAAATCCAA